TCATGATACTTAGTGATTTTTGTAACTTTTTTTTGATAGAACTGTACCTCTTTACATGTTAGTCATGTACCCAAAAGATGAAGCCAATTGCTTGAGTATTCGAGTAGGTAGACCTATGACAACATCTAGAATTTGAGCATAGTGCCATTTCTCTCTAGTAAGTGATATAAGGCTGAAAATTTCAGAGAACAATAAAGGTCTGTGGGATAATCTATTCTGTAAGTTTGAAGTCGATCTGTCAAATTTTCACTGATTTATGAAGTACACAATGGGATAGGTCGGTTTTGCCACATATCGATCCTTAGAGTAAAATGGTTCTAGTCAAGGGGGAAACAGCGTGATTTAAATCAGCCGAAACTCAGTTTAAATCAGTTTAAATCAGTTAAATCGGCTTAAATCAGTTAAATCAGTTTAAATCATCTAAATTCACTGAAGTCATTTAAACCCATCGAACTTTATTAAACTCATTTAGCTGACTAAAATAACCTTAAATCAAGTTAACTCGATAAAAAATAATTTAAAATGTGCGAGCTAGTTGTAGAATGACATTAAAGTTAAAATTTATATTCAATGATTATTCAAATGGTGCTCATATGATTCACTCAATCGGAGAAGGCCACGGTAGTATACGCTCATTGCACATGTAATATGTATCACAGCACGAGGGATGTTCTTCTCTCTTTTGAATGAGGTAGAAAACACGTGATTTGATTAACCGTGCAACATTCAGTCGTATCTTTTCTATTCCCTAGACTGAAAGTATAGGGTCTAGAAACCGGAATTCACCTGTGTCTGTCTGTCTGTGTGTGTGTGCGTGTGTGTGTGTGTCTGTAACACGTACGGTTACCATATGGTGTAACTATGATCGTTAAAATAATATATATTTTGAATGGCGCGCAAAGCTAATAAAATAAGATTTTCTTTATATATGATATTGAAAAAATCAAAATGAAGAACGAATCTGCAAATTGTTTACTATTCAGTTGTTTTATAATAAATTATTACAATTTTTAAAGTAAATCTGAACATATAAATAATTACGACAAATAATAAATGTTCATTATTTAGTTATTTTTATTTTATTGAATATAATTAATATAAAAAAAAATGAAATATTTATTTGACAAACAACATATTCTTTTGTATTATTTATCACAGTTTTTCTTTTTTTTGAAATAAAATTAGAAGAAAATATCAACTATTTTATTGATCTTTTCTATTTAGAAAATAATCGTTATTTGTTCCATATTTTCACGCAATTAACATAAAGAAAGATAAAATCAGCTACCTTGATGATTTTTATATTGACAATATGTCAAAATTAAAAGAAAACGTTTCTTTTCCAATATAATCAGATGTAAATTAATTGTTTTATTCATTCTAACATCTTGTAATTGTGCATCAAATAGAGGGAAATATACACTACAATCGTTTTGTTAAAGTAATATAAATCTGATAAAATTTTGTTGAGTACAGGTAGCGCTAATATAAATTAATTAGTTATAAAAAAAATTCTATTCCTTTTTTTATAATTACGATTTGAAAAAAAATGAATGATAATACAAATACAGAAAATTCGTCGATTGAACTGGATTTATTTGGCAGCTCAGAAGAACACTTATTGGAACTAGAACCTATCAAGAGTATGTATAGAGTAACCTGGGAAGTTAAAAAAAAAATATGAATAAATTGATAATATTTTCTAACTTAATGAAGATAAAAAAATTTTCCTTGATTTGTTTGATTGAATGTTATCTATATGCTCGAAATGTTCAGTTATAGCATAATAAAAATATAGCGAGACCGATTATAGATTATGTCTATATGTCTATATAAAACATGCAAATATTATATACAAATTTATTCAAAGTTAGTTAATAAGCATTTTATCATGTGATGTCTGAAAAAATGTTGGTAAAAATGAATTCTAATGAAAATTGTCGCATGTGATTGTTTCTAAATGTTAGAATGAATAGTTAGACCTACAATTTAGAAATTAGTAATATGTATGTCATTGAGTATTTTTTTTAAAGTATAATGTACCTCAATAATAAAAAATAATTCAAACTCTTTTGAACTTAACACACTTTATAATCATTTACAAAGTTTGGTATATTATTTAAAACTTGAAAGAAATATATTAACTAGTTCCTCGTCATAAAAAAAATGCAGGTTTTTTTCAATCACGATCATTGTGATTTACAAAAACAAAATTGAGGAACTTGATCTTGATTGTCTACCAAATGTATCTAGTACTACGATTGGTGGCATGCGCGTTTTTAATTCCATCGATGATTGTCAATCGGGATCTTTCTTCACCGTCGAGATAAACGGACACAAGAAATATATGCACAAACAGACCGCGAATTGGTATTTTTCAAAAACAAAACCTATTTCGTCTTCTGATCGAACACATAGAGTTAAAGAAAAACATTAAAATTTTCTTTGTTTTTTCTAATATCTGATATAAGAAGTAATAAATTTTGTGTTTATCTATTTCTACGTTTCAGATAGTGGACTAATTTCTAATCATTTTTGCGATCACACTAGATGCATTTAGTTAAATGAATCGATAACAAGAGCTCAATTATAATAAACATAATTCAATGTACAATAATTCACAATATGCCCTACAACACACTATGTTTACATGCGCAAATCTGTAGTTTTTTCTTGTTCAGTGACCTTCTATTCTTAGTCATGCTGTTCATGTTCTGATAATACCAAACACAAACACTACAAGTTGCTACAGGTTCATGAACAGAAGCAATAATTGCTGATAACACCGATTACTTATTTTTGAAACTATGATTTAAAAAAAATTTTATATCACTAAAATCAGTTTAAATCAGTTAAATCAGTTTAAATCAGTTAAATCACAAATCACCATTTTCCCCTTGGTTCTAGTTCTACAACGACTCATTGAATTTTAATGAAACTTTTATCACAGATAGCCAAAGTGTAGAGCTACAAAATGAAACTAGCCTCGACTCATAAAATCTTTTCGTTCCTGGGTTATGAAGTTCATAATGCAGACAGAATGCATACATTATAACTTTCTTATACTTCATGCAATCTAGTTGCGGGTGGTGTCGTTGATCAGCATTCGTTGAGAACTACATGCACAATAGTTTTCAGATCTACAGCTCATATTGTGACTGAGATCCAATGGGGGGGATACTTTTATCGGATACTGTATACGATTGGAAGGATGAATATTGGTACAGAATGAATTCAGTTTTCTGGTCTCAGGTACGAAAACGAGGACGCTGCTCGACAAATGGGACAGAAGTATTCAAGTTGCGATATGGTCGAACGATAGTCGATCGTTCTTTCTCGAATTAGGTGAACAAGCAAACAATGTACTTTTATCAAGTACTGAATGTTCTTACTACTAATGTAACAGTTGTTCGCTCAGTGAATGGTAACGAAATTTGGCATGACGTTAGTGTTCATTCCATCGACAACCAAATACTACAATGTTGTTAATAGAATGTAATCTATGAATGTACCTGAACAAATTCATTTAAGTAATGATACATATAAACGATTAATATTCCCTAGACTGAAAGTATATATAGGGTCTAGAAACGGAAATTCGCCTGTGTCTGTCTGTCTGTCTGACTGTCTGTCTGTCTGTCTGTCTGTCTGTCTGTAACACGTATGGTTACCATATGGTAACTATGTGATCGTTAAAATAAAAATAAATATATATTTCGAATGGCGCGCAAAGCCAATAAAATAAGATTTTCTTTCTATTCCCAAGACTGAAAGGCTAGCGTCTAGAAACCAAAATTCACCTGTGTCTGTCTGTCCGTCTGTCTGTCGGTAACGCAGTCAAAATGGCCATTTTTTTGGCACACGTGACCATTTTTATGGCATAAACGACCACTTTTTTGGCACAAGTGACCATTTTCGTGCCACAAATGGCCATTTTTTTGGCACAAGTGAGCATTTTTTTGGCACAAACGGCCATTTTTTTACTAAAATTAACTAGGTAACTATGGTACAAATGAGCATGTAACTATGACACAAACGGTCATTTTTTTGGTAGAAACGACCACATAACTATGGCACAAGTGACCATATAGCAATCATGGTACAAACAACTATTCCGGTAACTATGGTACAAACAAATGACCATCTAAAGACTGATGTAAATGAACCCATAATAATCATGGGTAAAATGTCAATGGAATAACTATAATTTGGGTAGTGATGTAAAACGGCTTACTTACACAAGCATTTAATTAGTGAGAGTCAGACCAAATGAGCAGTATGGATTTAAAGAAATCGTTTAAATTATTCATTATTGTAAGATTGATTGTGCAATGTTGTATCAATGAATATCTAATTTATTAATAGTTTAGAATTAATGCGTGAATTTAAGCATAAAATATTGATTAATAAAACTCAAATTTTATGAATAATATAATTCATATTTTTGTACGTACAAATAGCGCCAATATAATTATAAAAAAATCGTATTGTTGTCTAATCTTATTAGGCGCTATTTATATTCATAAAAGCAAAAAAAAAAATAAAACAAAAACGATAAAAAAAAATTAAATTTGTAAATGCATCATCTTTACTTAGAGTGAGAATTCTCCAAATTAAGTTTTCTGGTCGCCTAAGGTATACTGGTCATATTATCAATGTTGCGTATTACTTTTTTAATGTAGCTTTTTATGCTATTCCTTCCGTACATGTATTCTATCAGTCTAGGGCTAAGTGAATCGCTTGACGATGAACGTTACTTGTGTTGAGAACAATATATATATTTGAAGAGCGAGGTGAAATCAATATTAAAGGCAAAGGTCTAATACATACATATTTTTTATTGGATCGAAACCTAACTCAAAATCGAACAAGATCACGTACAAACACAATCACTGATAAAGAAGTTCGAATATCTATTCTGTTGTGTTATGATATTTTATTCTATTTATTTACATTCATTTTATATAAACCACTTTTATTTACATAATAATTGAAAATAATCATGATAAATCTACATGAAGAAAATAGTCTTTGAAATGTTTTGGAAATTGAAAATCTCTGTTCGTCAAATAGTCCAATTTTGTACACATATAATTCACTTTTGCACAATTCAATCGTGTTGCATTTCTTGTAAAATTGTATGTTACACTTTCTAAAGATTCATACTTAACAAAAAGACAAACATTATTTGGCAAACACACTTTGGTATCAATTAAAAATTCTTCCACATAATCATCATGAGCTTCATTAAGAAAAAGTTTGTTAAGATGAGGATATTTAATGATTGATAAATCTTGATTGTCATTTTCTGTTTTTATATATCGTTTACAATTTTGTGGCTTTTTATTAATTACAGTTAATTCTTCCAACAGTGGAAATGATTCAGCAATTCGATAAAAAAATTCATGTTCAAATGGACGTTCATCAAATAATGATATTTCATGAACATATTTAAATAAACCTCCTGGAAAATTATTTGTTATTTCATTGTAATGTTTTAATTTATATGGATATGAATAAATATGACAGTGACTATATTTGTTTTCTGGGAAATAATCAACACAAGAAATAATCTTATTATCTGTAAAATCTCTGAATGTATGTTGAATATCTTCATTGGATGGTAAATTAATTTTATTACGATGAGAAATAATTGAACGAATATTAAATGTCAATTGATTTAATCGTGGCATATGATTAAATATATTATTCTTCAAATTATTCCCATCAATAAATTCTGTTTTACAATTAACTATAAGATACAAATCAAGTTCTTCTAAATTCGGCATTCGATGTAGAAGTGGTAGAATTAATTCATCATAAACACTTGTAGAACATCTACAGTGTAGCAAAAAGAATCTTAAATTAAATAGTTTTTCCTAGAAACAATAATAAAAATCACTTTATTTAAATAAATTTAATAATAATCAAAAATAATCTACCTTATTATTAACTGCAAAATTCGAAGAGGAAATGTAATCAATATTAACATGAAGTAAACGAAGTTGATTGACACGTCCATCAAGTAAATAAAGACAATAATCGAAACGTTCTATAGTTATATACAGTTCTAAGAGAGTTGAAGACATAACACTTAAAGGTAATATATCAATGAATGATTGTTGGGTTCCACATATACATGGACAGAAATTTAAATGTTTTAAATTAGTGAACGTAATAAATATATGTGACAATATGCGTATATGTATATTTTTTTGATAGCAATCTTTATATTTAATAGTATCAATAAAGAGCGATGAAATTTGATTTTTTAAAATAGGAATCCAAGAAGAATTGTCTAAAAAATGACAAATCAATAAGAAAAATTTTTATTATTGATTTTAATTTTCGTCTATTTTTTCTTAATCCATTATCCAAAGAATTGAAGAAAATAGCTTACCAATAAAGAGAGATACAGCTGTTTCTATATCGATTTTATATAAACCAAGTCCATATAAGTTGGGATAATTTGTAGCAAGAAGAATACGTTCCATAGATGATGATTCAAGATTAAGCCATTTGATATTATGATGAATTTCAGGTAAAATTTGTAAAAATCGACCAAGCATAGGATCTGGTAATGGATAGATGCAATCATCTGAGAAGTATCTCATCAATGTTAAATGACTTGTAAAAGTTGAATCACATACAATTGTATTGAGTCGTTTATTAACGCCTATTAAAGAGTAAAGTACTAGAACATTGCTCAATTTTTTTAAGATAATCATAAGAATTTCATCAGGTAAATCAATCAATTGAACACATGAATATTCCATGTTCATCGGCATTTATCTATTCTTTTTAGTCTGTAAATGTCAATATTTATATAGTCAAACTCATATGTTCTATTTCATCGATCTCGTCAATGAAAACAATGAGATATTTTTTTATAGGCTCCAAACAGACCGAAAAAAATGGCATTGCTTCTCGTTTTTTCTTTTTGTTTTACATGCGAATGAACAGTGACAGATCAATGACATTAGCGTCAAATCAGGCGAAATTTACTGCTTTACCAAAGTTAGAAATTTCAAAATATAAAACATTGCAAGAAAAAATTTTTAATCGATTAGTCAATTATAGGTTTGGAGAAATAAACTGTATATTTATTATCTAAAGAATGAAATAAAAGATTGAGTTGAATATATGATTTTGTTGAATATTTTCTCATAAAAAAATAGCAGTAATAAAACAGAAATTTTTCTATTGATTATGTATAATATTTTTATTGTGAAACTAAACATCATAAACTATATCTCAACTTATTTGAATAAAACATATGATACTTTTTTTCTTATAGAGTATTGACAAATCTGTATTACTTATTGATTGATAGGCAAAGTTTATGACTTCAATTTAATTAAAAGATATCATAAGTTGAAATAAAATTTCTATTTACACTGATATAATTCTAATGATAATCATTTTTCTATTAGCAAGGCATATGACTTTATACCAAGAGAAAAATAACTAACTTTTATGACTTTAAAGTCATTTAGATCACTTAGATGATTTAGATCGCGAAAGTCATCAATAACTCAGAATATCTGAAAGAGGATGTTAGTCAATATTCATCTAGAATCTCTTCACATGTTAACATATCAATATACGCTTCGAGGATGGTACAAAAACAATGATTTCACCAAAATACGTATAGAATATAACTATTGCACATTTCAAAAAAAAAAGACGAGTGAGTCTTTTTCGAATAACTTTTGATAGAAGCAAGGTAGTGAGTTGCCATTTTCATCATTAGAAAGAGAAGATCTAGGCGTATCAACATATGCTAAAATCTGTGTGGTCAGCAATGAACCAATCGGATGCATTTTCGACCCTAGTGAAAGTACTCACCTAGAGAGTACTCAAAAAGTACTCACGCTAGAAAATGCCGCGAGTACTCATGAGTACTCGGGACTTTTGAGTACTCGTCGGTCGTACTCACGATGAGTTTCGAGTATATAAGTACTACACATCCTTAATTTTATGGTAGTGTATTCTAGTCGAGTACTATGACCGTTCATTTCTTATAGTTAGTAGCAACTAGACCATTTAAAGTCCCGGTTTGTTGCCCTTTGAGAAGCTTCGTAGACTCTGGAAAAGTCCGCTTCTCTGCAACGCCACAGTCACAGAAGGAAATTATCTGGTTAAAATTGTGAACTTATCGTCCATAGAAAGTCAGCGCACGACATCTTTTTCGTCCTAACACATTCCATTCTGTATATTGAGTCTTTTCAGAAAAAAAGACGACGAGTACTACAATGAGTACTCAGGGTCTTGCCTATAAGTAGATGTATAATGAAAGATTCGTATGAGTACGTATGTGAGTACTCGGCCATTTTACATATTCATGAATTTTTGAGAGTACTTGCTCGAGTAATTTGAGTACTCATGCTGGCAAGTCGTACTCTCTGGATGAGTACATTCACTAGGGGAGGGACATGTTGAGAGCGATACTACTTTGGACCAATTTCGCAACTTGGCTTAGTTATTAATTTATATTTCTAGTAGAAAAATTGTTTTCTTTCGATCTACGCATAATCCACTTTTCTAGCTTGTTCGATTCAAGAGATACAAGGATTTTCCTGAGACCCCTGATTTCAGCCAATGAACCATGGATCACCCAGAAAACATTCTGGAATAGGGTAATTCACAAAGGGGAAACAACTGACTTTATGACTTAAATAATTTAAATGATTATGCATGACTTAATGACTTTTTTTGACTTAAATGATCTAAAAGATTGAAAATTATTACTGTTTTTCATCATCCATCTTCCTTTACATCCCATTATTACTTGAGATTTGTATATTTTATATTGAGAAATAGCGAAAGTAGTTGTGAAACCAAGACCCTTAGCATTTCGTCTAAGGGAGAAGCAACTAACTTTAGGACTTTAATGATCTTTATGACTTAAATGATCTGAAAGATTGAGAATCTCCATAGTCTATCTTCTTATATTTCGATTTGTATCTCATTATATTTCGAGGATTCGATTTCAACTATTTTCCTAACTTATAATACGCTAGGAGATATCAAAAAGAGCACTCATTCTCGTTTTATGTTGGCTTATCGCTTTCAGCTTAATTGTTCGGCTGAACAACGCATAAACCAACTAGTCTACTGTTCGATTTGTTTCATAATATGTCTACCTTATCGTTGCCTCTTGCAATATGTCGTTCTTGATTAGAAAACAATGTAATCTTCGACAATCACATTTGATCTTAGGTTCTGCATCCACATGATATTGATGTGAACAATAATGAAAATACAATTTACAATTTAACAAACATTCAACTTTCTATCAAAAAGTAGATGAATAAATATTATTAGAGAATCCGATGATCGTGAACACGTGAGAAAACTAGAAACAAGAAAAGTGACGAATATTTTCAAACTGAAAATATCGAAAAATGAGACTAACAGAGAAACATATTCAAATATAAGATGCTATTCGATTTCATGTTCTGGTTATGAGTAGGACTCAGTGGAACTAAGAAAACCTTAGTGTAACTCACGACCAGTAGCGAATTTAAACAGGAGAATAAAGAAATAATCGATCCTTCTGTCAGAATTTTTACTGTCAACAACGAACGAAAAACTAGTTTGTACTAGATTGAATGGACCTTATAATTCATTTTGACTCATCGTTTCACCTCTACCAGAAATCTAATTTCACCATTATTCGTGGCTATATTTTGTGAATCAAGTGTTAGAACTCCTTTGGTAAATTTTGTGCGTATCCCGAGGTATACTCATCGGGAATGTTGGATTATGAATTTTACGTCTGGAATATTGTTCTTACACAAATCTGGTAGTTCATATAGCTCCCTGAAAATATTAACTGCAACTTTAATGTTCTTCTGTTGTGATGTTGAGTCTTCAAAACCTAATTAGTTGTCAACGACCTCGCATGCAAACCGAGTGTACATGAATACTCACTATATTGATAAAGGAATATTATTGTTAGCTAAAGCTTATAGAGTATTATCAAGTCTATGAAACATATCTTAGATAAGAATTTCAGACCTCAATTTTTGCAATTCAATATTTCAACGAATACGCCAGAATTTCCGTAGAACAATCATAACTCTTGGTATATAGATTACGATCTCGAATCTTACGTATTAGAAATTTTTTAGGCTCACTGAGTTCTTCCCTAGCTAAAATATAAGACCGAACAGTGTCCAATACTTGGATTTGATTCTTTATATGTCAATTATATTCATACCATTCAGTTTCTGTAGAATATATGAGTTTTTCACAGAGTTTCTTTGAATATACACAATTCTGTGAGGATGACACGCATTTAGAAGGAATGAACGAATTAGAATCAGAAAAATACTACTGTCTGATTATTTTTCATACTCGTCGAGTGTCGTGACGACAATTTTCTGAGTTTCAAAAATATCATGCGTATAATAATGGACGATATTTCGTTACAATTTCGATTTTAAGCATTGAGAATCTTCATGTTTATGAATGTCGATAACAGCTAGACCATGGAAAATTATTTTCCTGTTTCATTAGTCTAACGGAAACTCGACAGCCACAGTGAACATGAGCAGAATTCAAGAGGGAAGCAATTGATTTTTATGACTTTAAAGTCATTTAGATTATTTAAGTCATAAAGTCAGTTGTTTTCCTCGTGCTTTATACAGTTTTTTATTGGAAATTGAAGTGCTAGTTGTGAACATGATATAATCCATACGGTTTATATTACTTTGTCATCTGCTCTTCAGTCTTTATTCATTTCTAAAAAAAACAATATTGACAAGTGCTTAACAGAGTGCTTTAGATTAGACAGATAGTTTGTCTTTATTAACTTATCTATCATGTACTAAATGACTCATACCCATTTTTTTTTAAAACTACTTGTACAAGTTTTCTATTGAGTCCTGAATTCACAATACTTCTGATTATTATTGTTTTACTAGTGGTTGCCTCTAGTATTGTTGTACCTATCGTCGTAATTAGACTTTCAAACAACAAATCATCATCATCTTCGACAATCAGAGATAATCACATATTTTTCGGAAAAATAAAAAAAAAATGAACTATTATATTATTATATAGTAAATACTACAAAAATACCAACATCGAGTAGGTTTATATTTCATGTCTGGATTCTAAATATCTGTATTTCTAGATCGTCAATCAACAACACAGACTGGAACGATAACAACAAATGAGAATAATTAATATTTTAAATGTTAAATTCAGTTAAGTGACCTGTAATCTTTTTCTTTTTTGATTTCAGCAACAACTACTCCAACCAACTCTATTGTAACAACTTCATTTTTAAGTATGCAGAGATAATGATAAAGTTATTCTTTCTAGTTTGCAGTAATTATCAATAAATTCTATTTTAACTTCTTTAGTATCTTCAATCAGTGAGTGGTTATGTTAATTCTTTTCGAATGATTAATTTTTTGAATTCATATCATCGTTTCTAATAGTCATTACTTTCAGTATACTTTAGACTTATAGATTTGTTTTTTTTAGTATCCAATCAATCTACATCATCAAAAACCACTTTGAAAAGTAAAATTTAGAAAATTTGTCAAGAATTTGATAAAAAAAATCATTCTTTTATAGCATCATCATTAACAATCAGTTCAAGTAATTTTGAAAATCTTTTATTAATTTAATATTTACTATTAATTTTTCGGTTAGCAATATCAACTACAACCTTTACTGCGATACCAAATACAAGAGAGTCGTAATAAATTTTCAGAATTCTTTCGACATCAGATGTAATTTTATTATCAATTATAGAAAATAGTGATTTACCAATAACAAGTACATGTATGTAAGATAAAAGAAAATAATCTTCGTTATATAACTCTTCATTTCACTAATATTGTAAATATGACATCGGAACCATCTTCAAGAACTTGCGAGCTTTAATAGACATATCATTTCTAGATTTACTTTTCGCATCGAAAACATTCTAAGTAATAAGATAAATCATCTTTTTTTTATTATATAGAAACTAAAAATTTGGATAAAACGAAAATCACTTTTTTTTTTTAATTACGTTCAGCAGAAATGATGATCAGCTCATTGGAAGAGTTTTCTACAAGTGATGTTGATAATGATCCTTTAGAAACAATAATAAGTAAGGATATGTGAAACCTTTATACTATCATATTGATAATCCTTTTTGAAAAACTAATTTCTTGATCTGAAAGAAATCATAAAGAGATTGTATTTATAATTCGAAAATAAGACTTTTTCTTTAGTTATAACATCAACATTAACATCAATTCGTACTACAAGTAATATATATGATATTCGCACGTTTTTTTTTAATGTTATTTTTAATTTAGGATTAACAAGTTACATGAGTCCACCAAACTTACTCAAAAATCTTGATGCTGAAACAGGATTTATTGGGTGGGCTCAAACTGATACTTTAGCTGTCATTATTGATTCGAATGGAGCATTCAATAGTGGTTAGTATCCACATAGTAGATCTTATTGCTTTGCTGGTGGATATAGACGATCTGATTCACCATGAAGATTCGTTCAAAATATTGGACTTCTAGGTGGTGTTCAAGGTTTCACCGAACATTAACTTGACTCAGGTCTACTCAGAGTAGAACTAAGTTTTTACTATCAAACGTAGGAGAATTTTTTTATGAGACATGAACAAATTAAAATTAATTTGACATTTCGATCATCTTCATCTTCTATACTACACACAGTGACTTCAGAGGAAGTTGCTTGTAAAATAAATCCAGGATGGTTTCGTTACATGAATATTTATCCATTATCAATTGGTACACGAACTATTGATTATATAATGACATTTATTCGAAGAGATTTTGGAGGCAGCAATATCGACTTGTATGCTGATGACAATTCATTGAAAATTATACAGGGTGTTCACTTTATTTTGAAATGATTTCGATCGATTTTTTTTCCGTCAATAACTTATCGAGATCCAATGATTTTCATATTAGTCTACCTCACATACATTGCAGATGTTGTTATAATATTTTTAGTTTGGATAAAGAAATGTTTAATAATAAAACATCTAACAACATTGAAGGGTACGTGAAATATCTTTTAACGAAATAATATTCGTATTTAGTGAACCAGAAACATTTATCTGAAATACGTTTGTATGTGTCAAAAAGTATCATTAAGTGGGTCTCTACAAAGGTTCAAACATAGCTTCTGTTACGTTTAAAAGTAAAGTGGCGGA